GTATTGCCTCATAAGGGGGATATTTTACATAGTTACCACGCTAGGCAGCTGAGATGGAAAATGCAGCCCATCTGGTTTGCTTCCTTTTGTCGCCTCCTACGACACCCACGTAATGATATGGGGTAGTGGATATTCTTACACCGCCACTACACGGTTATTTATTTATTTATTTGCTTTTTAGTATGTATGTTACATGAGATATTGTTATATACTATGTATACATACTAAATCCCTAATGGAGACATGCAAATTTATTTATTCTTCGAATTTATAAAATTATACAAAATTAACAACTCATTATTAAATCTTTAAATTAGCGATAACAAACAATCTATCAATTATCCTAAATATATCTAAAGTAAAATTATAAAAAAATATATATAATTAACAAATAAAGAAAAATAAATTAAACAATATTATATACCATGTCAGTTAATATTTTTAATTATTTTAATGGTTTAAAGTAATTAGTCGGTTGAAGTAATGTACGAGTTACAATTTGCCGATGAAAACGAGAATTATTAATCGACTCAATTATTTTGTTGCTATCATATCGCTCATAAATTACTCTTTTGTCAATTGTTATTACTTTGTCAGGTCACATATAAATATGATACAATGAGAGTTACGAAGCAGTTTAAATGTAGGCTTCCTCACATGTTTTTCTTCACCGGCGAACTTGATAAATCAGCACTTAAAATTGCAAGCGTAATTAGACAGCCTCCCGCGAAAGAGGTGTTTCAGGATCGTGCCAAATGGAAATAGTTCCAAATAGTCCGTAGGCTCTGCTTACCCTTCTGGGTGACAGGCGTGAGTGTTTATGTATGTATGTTAAAATTGCAAATAACAGTTTTACTGGTGGTGTTAGAGACTGAATTCGGGCTGCACGCGCCTTTAACGGCGAGCGCTTTTCTTATGAGCTTGTATAATTTTATATCTTAAAGTGAGAAGTTTTCATGACATATTATTCTAATAATACGTACTTTAAGGCACAAGAAAACCAAAATATCTGTGATAGTAAAATATAACAACGATATAAATAATAATGACCTCCAGACCGAATTTCGGACTCGCCGCCGAGTCTCCACGGAGATTAGGCATCTGCGCTGAACAAGATTATAGTGCCCAAGTGTGTGCGCGAACACAGGTCTTTCTTCCCTTACTCTCATGATCCGAATGGACGGTAATCCGACGCGAACAAAGATAGATCAAGCGCAATGACTTTACGTTCGTGTAGTTAGTAAAACATTTGTTAGTGACGGAAAATATATTTTATAACTAACACATATGGACACATGGGCTTTTCTCGAATGCGACACATCTGGTTTTTTTTAATATTTACTACGGACACTGAAATCGCTAGTGCTAGTCCTTTCTTTGAGATTACAGGTCGCCATTTCTCGCTCAACAAGGTTTCGTTTATTTGTCAGTGAATGCAGCGCGTGCAGAGGTTTACATTAAAAAAGACGTTGTTCAAAGGATATGAATCTGTTCCCACGCCAAAGCAGTGTGTTTTTGCGTAAGGCCATCAGAGGAAAAAAGAGATTCCCTTCAGAACAAGGCGTTCAGCCCAGGGAACGGCTAATGCTCTGCTTAGAAATATGGAGCTTTTATAGAGAATAATATATAAATGTGTGTCCAGAAACTTCTATAGGTTGGTTTAAGTTTCGGTTTTATTCATATAATTTTTTTTATAGAACAATTATGATAAACGAGCACATAGTCCATCCGAGAGTAAGTGGAGTCATCTACCCTTATCCTCAATCAAAAATCAAAATTCAGATGCATTGTCACCCCTGAGGACTAAAAAGGAATGCCTAGTTTACAGTAAACAGCGTCTTTTTATTGTAACGGAGGCATATGCAAACAAAAGCACACTGTGTGTTCATTGTGGCGCGTGGAATGACGACATCGACGCATCTTTAATTGATTATTTCTCCAGTCAGTTTGACTGAGCTAATAAGTTGTTTTGTAATTGTATTGATTAAATAAACATTTTTTTATAAAGGATTCTTTTTGTGAATTTATTTCGAGTCATGATGTTCGATTTTTCGGTTCACGCATCCGATCCTCTTTGCTGTACAGATCGTCAGGTATCCCATTTAACCAGAAAAGGGTCCAATCAACTTTTGTCTAAACGTTATCTCCACTTCAGGACATAATTCTAATACACATATTATTAGTTATAATTAATTATTTACTAATAATTGATTATTTATAGAGCCATAGAACACAATTACTCTCCACCGAGATGTTAGAGCTGAATTAAAGTGTTAAAATATTTTTAAATGGTTAATAAAAAAAACACAGATAAAAACTATGTACTGCAGAAAATTTTGACAACTAATTTATAGGCCAAAAATATTGCAAAAAAAATTTATATCAAAATCTCTGTAGACAATTTATTTATTAAAATGTCAATTCAATAATCAAAATTTTTCCGTGTATTATTCCTTAACTTTAATTTTCAAGTATTTTAATTAAACTAAATTCAATGTGTCCCAATAATTAAGGTAAATTATTTTCTTTACAATAACTAGCAAATAGTTCTAGAAATTTTGATGTATTATTATATTATTTTAACTTATTCTTAACACGATCGATCCTTGTTACCGTTTTATTTTCGTTCTCTGTAAAGATACATATACAAGTAGAATATAATAGAACAGAATGAATATTTATTAAATATTGATTATTACATAATACTTATTGAAAGTCATTTGTTATTTACGTTCGGCATTTCGGGTCCGGAAAATATCTCTGTCCTGGGAAGAACCAGCAAGAAACCCAGCGGGACTTTTTTTAAGCATATTTCACTTAACAATATTTTATTTGTACAATTTTTAAATGAATTTCAGCATGGTGGCGATCACCTTATTCCCCGGAGTTATTTTCATTCATGTATTCCTTGATATTATAATAACCCTTTTTGTACAGTGTTTCTTTAATAAAACTTTTGAACTTGTTTATTGACAAACTTTGAACATGTTCTGGGATTTTGTTGTAAAAGCGTATACATTGCCCATAAATGAATTATTGATTCTGTAGAGTCTAGTAACAGGCATTACAAGCTTATGTTTGTTTCTAGTGTTTATAGTATGAACATCCTTATTCTTATTAAAGTTATTTAGGTTTTTATGTACATGCATTACATTTTCATAAATATATTGCGATGCCAAAATGTAATATGTTTATTTCTTTAAATTTTTCTCTATCGGACTCTTTACAGTTTAAGTTAGTAAAAAACGACTAAAGGTAGCTAAACTAAAGCGTACTACAAAGTTCTATATCTTGACCGTAATCATTTCGGCACATGCCAAAAACTATTCTTTGTATAAATGAAATATTCGGTGAAGCCTACTATGCCGTTCCGTCACCGACCAACACTTCACATCATGTTCGGAATCCTTGCCATAGTTGCCACGTTTGGCAGGCGGGTTGACAACTACAGTTTTTTTTATTATTTTGCGTTATTATCAGGAAGATGCTGCCCGTCACCTGTTTCATTTCCCTTATTCGCTGCTTGTGATACCGCGTTAGAAGTCTCTTCCGCCGCCAGTAAACGGCGAGTCGTATATGTATTTTGCGCGATGAGATATGTATAACCGATAGACGGGCATTATAGTCGTACACATATTGAACGCATCGTATACGATGTATTTTTCTAAATAAATCAGAGAATATTTCTTTAAAAATACATTTGGAGAAATACGTTCTGCTTTATTTTATCAAAAAACGATTTCCTCTTATGTCATAAGGGCGTTTTAAATACATAAATTGCAAATTTGTAGGCAATACTAGTACTTGTTTCGTGAGAGATTCGAACCCGCGCCTTCACAGTACGGCTAAATGCTTAGCAACAGCGTTACGTCGTTTAAACTGAGACGTATCATTCTATTTGTTTGTGTGAATCACGGCGGTCAGCGTAGCCTGATGCGGAACTCTAGGTTTAAGCCTAATTAACCATTTTCGTTTGCCCTAATATGATGATTTGTGTTAATATATAATATACTAGCTGTGCCCCGCGGTTTCACCCGCGTAAATCACGCGTCTACGCCTTGCGATATGCGAACTTCGAGAGAGACATCACGACGGACGGTTGCTGAATTAACAAAGATTTAAAAAGTGAAATATGTTACTAAAATTACATGGTTAACATAATTGGTGGTTATGCACGGTACAGCTACTGATACGAATAATGTGGCCTAGTTTGTACCGGCGTTACTATTTCATATTTTAACATGAAAAAGTAGTTATTGTGACATAACTGTAATAGTTAAACATATGGTATTGCAGGCTTTTTTGTAGATATTGATATCCTCTATAAAACTGTAGTACATTACATTGCTCTTTTATCAATAGTTTCCACAGCGTACGCGATATAAGGATTCTTTTTGGTATTTTTTTTTCACACCTTGGGTTACATTAACGAAGTTTTCATACGGATCCCTAACTTTTTTGAAAATATTATGTAGCCTATGTTCATCAGGGATAATGTAGGATTCTAATGGTGAAAGAATTTTTCAAATCGGTCCATTAGTTTCGGAGCCTATTCAATTCAAACAAACAAACAAATCTTTCCTCTTTATAATATTAAGTGTAGATTATATTATTATTTATTGAATTGAAGTAGTCAAAATTGTGTTACAAGGTTTCCCACCTTTTGAGACATTAAATTTATCTTTTTATTAGGTATTCAGTGTGTTATCTGGTACCTATTTATAACCCTATACTGATTAAAAAAATAGATTTTCTTTAAATATTTATATCTAGATCTAGTTCATCATTCGATACGTACTCGTATGTTCTGCAGATAACATAAACTAATAAAATATGTCAGTAGGTTATTCTAAAATCTTTAAAATTTCATTATACATATATTACCGATAATAAAAATCTGATGTATTTTACAATATTTTTACTTGTACTTACTTAATTGGTTTTTTGTGTGTTGTTGTACTAATTTTTTTTATTTTTGTTTTGTAGTTGTTCTTTTTTAAATGGAAACTGGTATAAGGATTAAGTTTACACCTTTGATAAAAACAGTCCATCGAAACAATTCAAGATGCATTTTAGAAATAATTCCTGAACTAACTGTTCTTGAAAACATTGAAAACATAAATTGGAACAATGAAAATGACTTTATTGAATATATTGTCCCAATAAAATATAAAATTGTACTTAAAAAAATGACGTCAGCTATTACAAACGAATATGAAAACAAAATATACTATTCTTGTGTTGATTTGTTACATAGGACATCTAAAAATAATTTATACTTAGGTTCCGGTGATGTTTCAAGAATAATAAGTGATAATCTTATATTCAGAAATTATACTTATAAAAATAAAAATCAAAGTGAAATTACGGTAACAAAAGACCATACGCTTATTTTGAAGAAAGACTATAAAGTAGATGAAAATAAGAATACAAAGAGTATAAGTAAGGAAACAACAAAGAGAACTTGTAAAAGTAAATATAGTCGAGAAAATAAATTTAATGACCTAAGCGATTATATTTATACCGAAGATACCAAAATATTTGGTAGAAGTCTTGATAACACAGGTAATTTACAGGTTATTTATATATATATATATATATATATATATATATATATATATGTATATATATTTTGATAAATATATACCAAAGGGGAGATTGTAATGTTTACTAAAATCTCACAAACGTTAAAACCAAGTGCTGTGGTATCCCTATATTCTAATCTTTTTTTGATTGTGAAATTAGGTACCTCTTTATTATATTACGCTCTCTTTTTCTGGTAAAGGAAAAATAATAAACGATTCACCTTTTAAAATTCTCTTCAAAAAGATTTTTTTTTCTTTTTGTTGCAGTTAAAAATCATATTAGTTTTAAAATAAAAACGAGTGAAAAACACACTAAAGGCAACATAATAAAAGATAAAGGCGAATTAAATGAAATAATTAATGACAACCATATTATAAACTCACAGCCTGAAGAGGCCATTACTGTTTCGATTAGAAAATCACAATCAAAGTTGACTTTAAGTCCTGTTTCACTATATAATAACGTTAAACCACTGTTAAAGATTGTATATCAGAATACATTTTATAATTCTAATATATGTTTTGTTGTTGATACAGAAGAATCGATCCAGAAAAATAATATCGGAGTTAAACAATCAAATATTTTAAACAACTATATAGATAATGAAATAACTAAAGCAAATTGTGAAGAAAATAACAACTGGAGGCTTAGGTCAAAACTTGGAGTTACACCTGCTCTACGAATAAATTATTACATTCAAGTTATGGAAAAAGAAATTTTACCCCTAAAGATACTGTTACATGACATTATAAATAAGTGTAATGTTTTGGGGTTGTCTCTTAAAACAAAATTATTACAAAGGCCAATATCTAATCCAAATAAAACAATTTGTTACAAAGAAAATGAATTTGCTTCTAATAGAGTTGTATATTCAGTTGTGTCTAATAAATAATATAAATTAATTTTTGTTCTAGTTTTTTTTTAGTATTAAAATTGTAAACTTGACTCACCACCAACCTGTAAAACATTTCTAATATACCTAGTCAGGTCATAAATTCTGTCACATGTTTAATATAAATTAATTGAAACAAGTTTATTCATTATGTAACCATTTATAAACCAAAATGAACTTAATAAAACATAGATTTTTATGACACTAAAGCTTATTCAAAATGACCGCCGTGATTTTGAATACAGGCCTTCAATCTGCGCGGCCAGTCGTCTATCGCAGCACGAACGAGGTCCATGTCAATATCGGCGGCTGCCTTAATCAAGGATGTCTTGAGTGACTCCAAATTGGGATGAGGCTTTGAGCACGCCTTTTCCTCTAAGTGTTGCCATATCTTTTAATCTAACGGATTCAAATCTGGACTGGAGGAGGGCCAGTCTTCGTGCCGGATGAAGTCGATTTCACGCGCCGCCAGCCAGTCTTGTGTGCTCTTCGCTCTATGAGCTGGTGCCGAATCTTGTTGGAATACCCAGTGCCTGTTATTGAACATGGTATGAGAAACAGGTTCCATAAGGTTCGTCAGGACTGTATTTTGATACACAACTGCATTCGTTTTTACACCTTTCTCACAAAAATGTACCTCTGTTAAGCCCCAATAAGAAACTCCCAACCATACCATGAGCGAGGATAGAAAATGACCTCGTTGGACACGCGGAATACGGTTGCTCGCTTCTTCACTACTGTGTGCGTACACCTTATCATTTTGTTTGTTGTAGCTCTCTTCTACGGTAAAAATGTTTCATCCGAAAAAAGATTTACCCGATATTGTTTTCCCGCGTACCGCTTCAACAAAGCGCGGCATCTCTTCAGTCTCAGGTCCATTATACGAGCATTCAAACGATGTACTGTTTTTCTTCGATATGCCCGAAGCCCTAAGTCTTCATTTAACACCCTTTTCACCGTAGTTCTGCTTAACCCCATCTGAAGGGCCAACAGTTTCTGCTTACGTTTGGGATTTCTTTGAATTCGCGCCTTCACAGCTTTTATCACTGCTGGAATCCTAACAGACCGAGGGCGACCACTTCTTGACCTGTCATCTACACTAGAGTCTTCATTGTATCGTTTGATGGTAATACGATAAACGAATCTTTTGGTTATATCCAAATTTTTCAGTATGTCTAAAATTTGAATTGGCGCGTAACCGCAACGATGCAACGCAATAACTGCAACACGGTCTTCTTTAAGCGTCCACTCCATATTTAAAAATGAGTAAAATTCTAAAAAGTATACAGTTTTATTTTCATGAACAATTCGAAATTCGAATTCAATAAACTTTTTTGTGGCCAGCATTCTAAAAGAAAAGTTTTTACTGTATGATAATACTTATGACCTGACTAGGTATTAATAATGATTTCACTATTGATAATAATTTACCATACCATAAAATAATTACAAACACTTTCATCATTATCATTACAGCCCATTACAAGTCCACAGCTAAATATAGGCCTCCCCAAGGAATGCCGCAAAGCACGGTCCTAAACTACCTGCATTCTTCAACTTACTGCATCTTTTATCAGGTCGTCAATCCATCTTGTTAGGGGCCACTTCGCCTATCGGTACAGGGCTACCATTCGAGAACCATTATTCGCATAAATTTATTGTATGGTGAAAATATAAAACATCGCACTCACTAGAGTGAACTATGAATTACATATATGGTAACAAATTGACTGCCTCGTTGTTAGTAAACGCAACTGCTGATTATGAGCTCCCAGACCAAAAAATTGAGTTTTTCTCTTAAGGAATTTTCAGTAGTTTCCCGGAGTCAGAAAGTTGGCGGTGTTTCAACCCCGTGCGTCGAAAAATACGTTGGTCCTACGCCTGATCTCTCTCAAGTAGTGTCGGATTGCCCGCTCCATTGAGCACGAGCACGACGAAATTGAGAGAAAAGAAAGTGCACTTGTGCTTGCGCATACACTCGGCCACTATAATTCTATCCTGCGCAGAAGTCTAGTCTACGTTTTGACTAGCCACCATGACCGAAATTCGGTCTGATATAAAATAAGGTTAAGCGATACATTCTTTCGTTTTAAAATACCAGAAAAATATGAATGGTATTGCGTTCTTCGAAATTTCATCATTTAAAGTGGTTTAAGTAAGTTTACTTAAAAAATGACATTACTCCTTCATATTAGTTAGTATGAAGGAGTAATGTCATTTTTAGTGGTGGCGACTTAAGTTATTAGAGTCGTTTAGTGAATCGTGTAAACAACTTTTGATATATTTTTATAATTATTATCACTTAAATTATGATTGGTCGTTATCAAACGATATACATATATAGTATATGTATACATATAATTATGTCGCAGCCAATTAACATAATTAGTTTTTTAGTTAACAGTTAACATTACATGGCATGTCACCCGATTAACTTCATTCAACGAGACGGTCGCTGGTCTGTGTCGATGATTGCAGGTGGCTCAGGACCGTGCTTTGAGGCATTGCTTGATGGAGTTTTAAGTTAAGCAGTGAACTTGTACAGGACTGTAATGATAATGATGATGATGATGAACTTAACTCTTCCCTGGTTGTAGTAATGCTGCATCCGTAAAACACTAAAAAGATATAGTTATGTTACATTTAAATAAATGGGTCTTTTTCACTGCGTCGTTGGTGTAATGATTGTAAGGGCAACTGCTGATCATGGCAAAAATCAGATATTGAGATTTTCTAACAACCAATTCTCTATATCAGCCCAGAGTCAAACAGTTGGTTGTGTTGCACAACATGTGAAAGCACATAATGCCGTCGGTCCTGTCTCTCTCCGATCATGTTAGATTTTCGTCCCATCGGACTATTAGAGTGAGGGAATAGAGAGTAGGATCTGTGCTTGCGCATGCACTCGTGCACTGTATGCAGCTGAACGTATAAACTATACCCGTTAGTAAAAATAAATTCTTCTTTTTTTTTGTAATATTATACTTAGGAAAATGTTTTTTCTCTTTTTAGTAAGTATTTGAAACAACTGAAGTGGGTATAACACCACATGTTTTTCGTGTTTTCAGAGTAACTAAAAATGAATGGAGTACAATGGACATCACCATTTTATAATTAACAAAGCATTCATAATTAATAAATTACATGAAACGTGCCTATAATGAAACAAAATATGAAGGACCTAGCTTTTGAAATAGAAGCAGTACCGCAAGTGAATAAACCATCAAATGCTAAAAACGGCACTCCTGTAAATGTAAAGATAAGAATACGGAATAAAGGTCAAAATAAACCTGAACGCCAGGGCATTATATCTATTCCAAAAATAGGTGGACAAGTGTACTCCTGTGAAAAAATTAGACTGAGTAGTAGTGACCAGACAATTTTGTCATTCAATGTTATAATGGAAGAAGATAAAAGTGTGAAACAATCAATGCAAAAGAAAAAACGAATATTCCACATATTTAAACGAGGCATGTATATAATATTTCTGTATAATATTTTATTCATGTGTATAATATTTCTGTATTATTAGCTAAAATACCAACCGTAAGAACAATAAACCTTCTTAAAATTCGACACAATTTTTTGCGAATGTTGCTAATTTGTGTTAAGAAATATTAATAAGTCGTATATTCTGCCATCTAAGATCTATCTCTCTATATATAACTAAGATCTATCCTATCTCTATGATTAATATATTTTGCTCTCTTTTTGTGTTTCATATAGGTGGATGTTTTGGGATTCAGAGTGACGACGATGAGGGCGAAGAATTTTACTCAAAAAAGCAATCTTTTGAACTTATGACAACCTTGTCAACTAATGCAGTGGACAAACAAACTTTTGCTTTGACTAAAAATTTAGGTAGCTTAGAAACACCACGAACGAATAAAATAACACAAAAAGACTTTTTAGGAAGATGCAAACCAGGTAAAATTACAAAAGAGAATTTTAATAATAATATAAGTGCTTAAATTAATTTTGCCTTTATATTTTATTTGCAGGAGGTTGTTTAGATCCGCCGTTTGGTGAAGATAAATATTCCTATATTCCGAAATTGATTGATGTTTCTGATTCAAAGAAAGGTCTTTCAGAATTAGAAAAAAATAAAGACCAAGACAAAATATCGCTTAAAAATATAATAAATGTTAAGACAGAAGACAAAAGTGGTTATAATGCAGACTATAAAAAAGAGAATATTCAATCATCATGTCCTGTTGACAGTAATTTTATAAATATAAAAAAATCAAATTCCATCATAACTTATCCGTCAACGTCATCTTCTACAGAGTTCTCCATTTCAGATAAAATTCATAAAAAGACTAAGAAAGATAGTAATGCGAAAGAAAATAGATTATCAAATTTACCCAATGAATTTATAGAAACATATTACATATCACCAAACAAATCTAAAAAAACTAACAACTTAGAAGGAAGTACTGGCAATATCGCCAAATTTAATAAAAAAGAAAAATCGTCTAAAATTTCATTATCACACTTGCATTTGGATGTCCAAGAAGCAACAAATCATATTGCTCAAAGTCATGTTCAAAACACATCAGGCGATGCAATAGAAGAAATGCAACCAATTTTAAATGTGTCAAAAATAATGTTAGACGCTCAAGTTAAAAAAGGTACCGATACAAATATATTATCAGGTACAAATTTATCACAACCTGATTGTGGACCTAATAATAATAAAAACATAGAGGCAATAATATGCCATGAAGAAAATTCAAATAACTTGTTGAATTGTATAGCAATACCTACTATAGCTGGTGATACTGCATCCAGAGGCTCAGATTCTAATATTTCGTCCATAATAAATGCAACCTCGAATAATCGTTATTTAAACCCTCTAAATAAAGATACAAATGATACCTTTCAACTTGATTATGATACTAAACGCCCGTTAAAAGATATTAAAGGTCTATCTTTGGTTCAGAATCAAAGCATCAATAGTAATTTAAGAAACATGATTGAGTTTCAAAGTGATATGCTTA